TGGGCTGCTCATTGGAGCCTGCTACCAGTTCTCAGAAGTAGGCCACCCATAATAAACCTGTCAGGTAGAGTGGACACTGAATTAACACATGTTAAATGGCTCAGGGCACTCTGTAGGTTTCAAAGCTGGCAGGGTGGGCAGGGGCCCTCCTGGAGTGATAGCCCTGAGCATACCTGCCCACCCACGCAGGCTCCTCTAGTACATATTGTTTGACTTCTATGGGCACAGCTGCCATGCTGAGCTACAGTTCTTGTGTCAGACCTTCTGTTTCCTGTAGTCCAAATCTTTTTCTCTTACTTTACTGTCATTTTTATGGAACACATCCTTCAGTATCTTCTTGAGAAAGGATGGAAAGTAAATGTTTTTGAGGTCTTGTGTGTCTGGAAGTATTGTGGCCAGGCATAAAATTCCATGTTAGAAATCATTTTCCTTTAGATTTTTAAAAGCATTTCTCCATCGTCTTCACAATTCCATTGTGCTGTTAAGGAATGTGAAACCATGTTGATTCCTACTCCCTCACATGTGATTTCTTTGTTTCTTTGGAAGTTTGGAGAGTTTTCTCTTGTCACCAGTGTTCTAAACTTTCATAGAGATGGTCTTGTGGGTCTGGTTTTACCCATCGTGCTGGACCCTTGGTAGCCCTTTTAGTCTATTGATACATGTCCTTGAAGATGTGGAATAGTTAGTGAATTATTTCTTTGATTTTTATTTCTTCCATTTTTGTGAGTTTGTTTTTTTTTCTTTATAGAATCCTTTTGTTGTATATTATACACTCCTGGACGAGACTTAAAATTCTTATCTTTTCTCATATTTTCTATCTTTGTCTTTTCCACTTTCAAAGATTTCCTCAACCTTATCTCCCACTCATCCTATTGAGTTTTTCATATCTATTGTGTTTTTAATTTTCAAGAACTTTTTTTCTCTGGATTCTCTTTTTTCTATATATAGTTAAAAAATCCTGTTCTCATTTGATGAAAGTACTATTTGAAGGCATTAAGGAACTTTTTTTTAAAAAATTTATTTTGCTTCCCTCAGATATTTAGAAATTCTTGGCTGCTTCTTACAATAAGGAATTAAAATCTAAAAA